TAAGGAAAGAAGAGAAGAGGTTTGGGCGGTAGAAATTACGGGTTTCTTGTGTAAACCCAGCACCATTGTGACTCTTTTATTGGGTCGGATTTGATCAAGGTTTCCTTGCGGCGACAATGTTAGCCGATGGAGACAAAACAAGGATTCGAATTATGGTGAGATTTTGGTAGGGAATTTCTATTGAGCTTCTTTTCCATATATAAGGTAATCTCTTGAAAATTTCTTCCTTGAGATAATGAATGCATCATTACGCTCTTACCCCTGGATGTAGCCCATTTTGGGTGAACCACATTAATCTGTGTGTCTTCAACTTTTTTGCTTGTGTTGTGATTATAATGATTTCTCATATTACTTGTTTCTTGATTCTATAATTTTTTAAAATATATTGCACACACATTATTGTTCTTGATGATTTTATTTGGGTTGTTGGATTCATTATTGTGGGTATCTCGCCATATCAAGTAGGGATATGTGTTATCCCGATTTGCTAACAAGGGGTAATCGAGGTAGCCTCGGTTGCCAACAATCCTTATACTATACAAGTAAGATGTCATTTCGACCTCAAGATTCATAAACATAAAAAAAACAAGAAGGGATTGCTAACCCTAAAAATAGGTCATCTTTTAACATATTATCTAGACCGTTCATTTTAAAGATTTTCAAGTATTTATAGATCTGCTTGATTGTCACCATTTTTTAAGCTCCAAATTTCATGACTGGAGGAAGCAATAGATTTCTATATTATTGTAAGGCTTTTACGACATTGAAACTGCATTTTCAATATGGTTTTGAGGTACACCTTACTTCAATAGTATAAGGTTGACACCTTATACAAACCTCACTCATGTAGGAAACTATCTTGGGAACCTTAATTTAGAATTTCATATAAATTTGATTATTTTAAGGTGGTTAAATAAATCTAGGGAAAATTATGCAAATTTCTATTATATTTTTTGTTATTATGAAAATACCTGAAACTTTCCGTTATTACATAGATATTCATTTTTTCAAATTCAAAACATTTTAAAAAAAAAAACGAAACTACCCATTTTTGTTTTTAAAAAACCAATTTTTTTTAATTTTGGTTTTTGAAAAATCGAATTTATATATATTTTCTTGACTTTAAGCCAAATGCAAATTTATATTTTTTTAATTTTAAAAATCCGAATCTAAGGATAAGTGGGAGAGAGAACCAGGGCAAGTTCCTGAGGCGATAGTTACCGGATAAACTTTGCCGTTTCAAAACTGGGAGAAAAATATTGGGCTTTAGGTGCTGTTCTCTCCTGGGAAAACTCGCCCGTCTCACGGGAAATATGAGAAAGAAAGAGGTTTATGATTTTAAAACTTTTAGCCATGGAATTTTTTGCATCAGAAATTAGAGAGAAAAAATGGGCTCATGGTTTAAAAAATGAGCCATGCCAGTCGGGTCTTACTGGCATTTTACTGGGTTCGGGCTCAACACAGCAGCCTTTCTTCGGATTTGTTCCTATCCATTACGCTACCATACCTGTACTTGACAAAAGACCCTCTCTCTCTCTTCTCTCAACTTTCTCTCTCTTAAGCCCTGTTCGCATATAAACTCTCTCATTCCCTGTTCTTTACTAAAGACACTCACACTATCTGTGATTTAATTTTCGGGTTTTGAAAAAACCCAAAATTTGAACATTTCAGTTTATTTGAACATTTCGGTTTTTGAAAAACTAAAAAAAAAATAAATCTGTGTTTTTTTTTAAAAATATTATGAAGTTGAAAAAACATGGATTTTGAAAAATAAAAAAATAAAAAAATTCCGATTTTTCAAAAACTCGAAATAGACAGTTTTCTCTTTTTTTTTTGAAAAAAATGAATATCTATGTAATAACGAAAAATTTTAGATATTTTCATAATAAAAGAAAATATAATGGGTATTTATGTAATTTCCTCATAAATCTAATACGAATAGATGTTCATCTATTGCAACTTGCAACAAACTGCTAAAATGGAGTTCGTAGCGAGTTAAAATAGTTGAAAAACATTTAATTAAGATGCATTTTTCCAATTAGACATGAATTCTTTTCGGACGTGCAATTAAAATTTCATGAATTTTGGATTTGGATAAATCCAATTCATAATATTGTGAGTTTCAGGTTGCATGCCACAATCTATGATGAACTACTCGTGGTGAACATTATTAGACCATGATTTTGATGTCCAATGAATTTAAAATTCGTTAATTTTAATATGTGATCTGCACAGAAAAGGAAGTGAACAATGCAAACCTTGATGTATGAGTTGTACTCAAGGTTTAAAATTTTGGCAATCGAGATCAAAATCACCTTATTAAGATCAAGAATCATTCATATTGTTTTGGATCTCTCAATATGTTGGGATCCAAACGACTTCCCCTTGAGCCAGCCAGCTCTGATTCTGTCAAAACACAACGGTCTTAACAAACACTTTCTTTTTCTTTTAAAGTTGTGTAATTTTAATTTTTTTTTAAAAAAAAGTGGCAGCCCAGTCCAACCCCATTTTTTTTTTGTTTCTGGAAGTCGTACATAGTTACATCACCCCATGTACACCCTAATTTTTTTTGAAATCTACACACCAACATCATCCCACTTTGATACCTCCCAACAAGAGATAAAAACTAAGCAAGTTACACCCCACACGTATGCCCAATTGTGAAATCCCCGATGTGGGAATTTTGTTTTTGCTTTCTACTTATTACATAATGCACTATTGAACTATAAACCTTAATATAAAACCATAAATCAACCTTGGCGTCTCTCTATAATTCTCTCTCCCCCCATTGTCTCGGTCTCTCCCTCTCTCTTTACTAACAATCTCTTTCTCTCTACTAACAACCTCTCGGTATAAAGTTCGTAAACTTTAACCTCTCTCTCTACTAAAACCCTCTCCACAAAGTTTGTAAAAGTGATAATTCTACTAAAATTCTCTCTCTTTCTACTAAGTACTCTTCTATTAAATTTGTTTTATATAGCTTCTTTCAAAAATCAAAACTCCTAAGTTAATACAATAATAAAATAAATAAATTGAGTTAGAGTGATTCATGTTATTGTCATGTTGCATTTCAAACTTTATTTTGATTATAAAATGAATTTAATAAACATCAAACACTCAACATGAGACATGTTGTCAGTATTTACATATTTTAACACAATAACGAAAAATCATAATGCAATGGGAAAAGTTTATATAAGGTTGCAACCTTAAAATGTAAAATTACAGATGCACCTCAAAAATCAATCGGAAAGGTTGTTTTAATGTTGAAAACCCTATAATTGATCATTTGAATATCAAGATGCATGAATATGAAAAAAAAAAAAATTGAATCCCAAAAATAGTGCATCTTGCAACACATTATTTAGACCGCCGATTTTCAAGATTTTCATATGTCTATAGATCTACTTGATTTTAACTATTTTTAGAATTTAAAATTTTGTAATTATATATGAAAATAGATCTTAAGATAATTCTAATAATTTTTTACAACAAAATTACATATCATGATAAAATTGAGAGGTGTGCCTTAATTGGATTGTTTAAGATTGCAACCTTATAAAAACCGTACCCTAATACAATTGTCGCTATTTATTTTAGATACCTAAAAACCTAAATTTTTAAATGAAAATATTTTTTTAAAAATTTTTTAAAACCTAAACCAGTCGATTCTCTTACCTAGATCGCCAATCCATCACCAGGCCGACACGAGCAAGTCTTCGCATCAAGTTAAAATAAGCACCGCGTCCACCGCACCCCACCGCGCCTGGAATTTTTAGAGAGAGAAAGTTGCGAAAATTGGATGTTAGAGAGAGAAAGTGTGAATCAAAGCAAAGAAGTCGTTGAAAATTAGAGAGAGAAACAAAATGGGAGCCCCTAGTTGCACCACTACGGGAAGCGGTGGCCTCATTTTAAGTCAATGACGAGTGCTAAGATAACGTGAAGGTGACATGTCGAACATAGTGAGAGAATGTGAATTGAAGTGGGATATTTTCCCCAATGTAGACGGAGAAAGGTAGAGAGACAAGGATGTCTCCCCACAATGGGCCCGACCGGCATTCCTGGCCCTAAAAAGTAGGGCATGGATCAATGTTCGAAAAATCGAATGGGCTTTGGAAACTAACCAAGGGCGGGTCTGCATAACAGATAAATCGGCTGGTTCAACTGGCTTAATCGGACAAGTTCCGTCCTGTCTAAAAAGTGTTAAGAAATAAAAAAAATCTAAAAAAATATGAAAAGTATATTTAAAGCATGGTTAAATAAAACACATCTAAATATAGTTGAAAAGTAGTTAAGAAAATAGATTTAAAAAAATCAATTTGTGTCCAAGGCTATTTTTAAAATTTTTCCAAAAAGATGGGAAAATGTAAAAATAAGTATTGACAGCAAAAAAAACTTTTTAATCTTTGCCAAAATGATAAAAAATATTAAAAACACATTACAAACAAATCCCTTTTTTTAGATTAAATATATATATATATATATACCCGTCTAGTTCCGAGTTAGATTTTATATGTTTTTTTCCAATTTTTTAAAATATCCGTCTGGTTCCGAGTTGGACTGGCCGAGTTTGTGAACACTGGTCTAGACTGAAATTGTGGCCTGAGGGCGGGGCAACCACGGCTTGAGGATAACAGTGGGTTGGGCAAAGGCCTCGACTTGCCCCGCCCTCTTTTCTTTTTCTTTTTTTTTTTTAATTTTATTTATTTTTCTCGACCTGGCCCTGATGGGCCCATTAGTGCCGTGCTGGGCCTCAGCTAGCCTATGGGGAGTGGAGGCGGGAAAGGGCCAAGGCTGGCCTAGCCTGTTGCTAGTCCTAAACGTACATAGGAAATATAGAGAGAGAATTTATGGTAAAAAAGAAATATAGAGAGAGAAGGATGTCCCACACAATGTAAGGAAAGGATAAGCAAGTAGAGAGGGAGAAGGATGTCTGACAACCTAGAAAGAGGTCTATAAAAGGCCTTGTAAGGTGGCTTATGATCTTCATGTGTAGAGCAATGGAGAAGGGTGGTGTAATAACTTTCCTCTTGCTCTTAATTCAACTAGGAGCCATCCTCCCTTCTCTCTCTTGCCCAACTTGTCCTACACCACCGAGCTACAAACCACCCCATGTCCCCAAACTACCCCCTAAGCGCCCACCTAAGATTTTGCCCCCACCCTATGTCAAGCCCAATCCACCACCAAAGGTGGAGACACCATGTCCACCACCACCACCAACATATAAGCCATTTCCTCCACCAACACCAAAGAAACCAGAGACTTGTCCCATTGATGCTTTAAAGCTTGGAGCCTGTGTTGATTTACTTGGTGGGCTTGTTCATTTGGTGATCGGCGAGCAGGTGAACAAGAATTGCTGCCCTCTTGTGCAGGGGGTTGCGGATTTGGACGCAGCCTTGTGCTTTTGTACCACCATTAAGGTAAAAGCTTTGAACCTGAATGTGGTTCTGCCGCTCGCGCTTCAGGTGCTGGTTGGGTGCGGGAAGTCAGTGCCCCCTGGGTTCAATTGTCCATGAGGTCTGTTGCTCTAAGCCTCGAATCTCCCTCTCTCTCTCACACACACTATAGTATAAGTTTGACATCTTATATAAACTTTTTTTTCTTACCAAAAAGCTCAACTTAGCATGAGCTACTCTCTCAACCACTCTCTTTCACAAACTTTTTTTTCATACCAAAAAGCTCAACTTAGCATGAGCTACTCTCTCAACCACTCTCTTTCACAGACACGAGCACGTTCGCGCACACACACATGCATAAACCACCAAAATCTCCACTTTGGACAATCTACCCTCTCTCTCACACACACACGCACACACACATGACCCCTCCCACACTCTTTCTTTCTGAAACATGCAGGCACCAGCAAATTCTCCTGTTATTGAGAAAGCCTCCCTATCTGTCTCTCAACAAACATCCACACTAACAAATTCCTCACTTAGTGAACCTCTCACTCTCTCTCTCTGGGTGTAAAGTTTATAATGTAAACCTCTCATCCTCTCTCTCGCCACACAACACGTTTGATTCGCATGAAAATATTATTTAGGAAGTATTTTTACGTGAAAAAATTTCTTCAGTGTGGTTAGGTGTGAGAGTATTTTCATACTAATTAACTGCCAATTGGTGTGAAAAAATGCATTAGAACCAATTGATGTAAAAATATTCCGACACCAAATAAAAAATTATTTCAAAAATATTTTCATCTGAAACAAACATGCACAGTGTTAACCTCTATCTCTCTCCCTCTTACTTGGGACTTACTTGCAGGTTATGGTTTTGGACCGGAGACACAACCGTTTGCCAAGAAATGGTCATTGAAGAATGAAGAGTATTGTAATTGTTTACATGGTTATTATGCTTTCCATATTTGTGTGTTTTATTGAAGTTTTGTTTATATGTTTGGTAGCTATTAAGCACCATAACCGGTGGTCGCATGCTCATCGATATGTACGAGGGCCTATGTCAGACTTGAGTACTATAAGTCCATAAGTGTCAATGTGTGTGTCACAAATAAATAGTGTGAGGTCATTGATGGTCCATACTTTCCTGTAATGAGAAACTCCCATGAACTTTTCTCCATACTTTTATCTAACTTGATAATGATTAGAAACCTATCGGGAAAAGGAAGAAGAGATAACCGAAATTTCGGAGATTACATTTTTGTTTTCTTTATGGGCATGCTTTATATGCTTCCGCTACTAAAGGCCCTATTGACATGGTCCCAATCACAATGTTACATCTCTATATTATTTTATTTTTAATTTGATATTAAATTTTGGCATCCACTTTTCTATTAAACTTCACCCATAAAAAATATGTAAAAATATTTTCAATAAAATAAAATGATTAAAAAACCCTGAAATGGTAAGCGGTATTTTGATCATTATATTTTATAAACAACTCTTTTTAATATTTTTTTTAGGTGTGCCCCATTGAGAAGATGAGATTTACCAAAATTTATATTCATATAATTTATATAAAAAACTAAAAATAAAATACTATGAAGCAGCAAATCTAAATCGAATGGTCATTGACTCACTTGATCTAAATTGAACGACAGTATGCGGGGAATCATATATCTTTTATACAGTAGGGGAAGTATAGAAACTCTCCCTATAATAATTGCATATCAATGAATGAATTTCTCTCCCTCCTTTTTTTTTTTGGTAGTTTAGCTTTAGAAATCGAAGTTGAGATGTAGCATTGCTAAATCGATCAATCAATCTCTCTCTCTCTCTCTTTAGTAGTTTAGCTATAGAAATCGATGGTGAGATGTAGCACTGCTAAGCTACTAACCACTCAAGCCCAAACCCAAGCCCAAGCCCAAGCCCGATTCCTCGTGTACTCGAAAGAAAGTTGAGGTTAGTTGGAAATTAGTGGTTTATTGTACAAAGTAAATACTTAGCAAAATACAGCTCACCTCGTTTTCAAAACTTGGATTTGGGCGGAATAACTTGGACTCGGCCAGCCAAGGCAGGGGCCGAGTCCCATCCCCAATTCATGCTTTTGAATACTGGTTGAACGATTTGTAGTGATACAAGTGATGGTCAATTACATGCAAGCCATGGTATCGGTTTGCAATGAGAGAGAGAGAGGGAGCGAGATCAAGATAGAGAAAGAGGGATCAAAATAGTTAAATAGTTGGATGCAAGTTATGGTGTAGATTGATGATTGGATGAAGTTTCTATAAGGCTTAGGCTTTATGAAAGCAAAATAAAGCCTCATCTCATATCCTTGTCTGGAATACACTTTTGGGAAATCTCCATGATGGCTATAAAATCAATTTTCAACATTGATAATAAAATTTGAAATTAAAAATATAGTACAAATCTTACGAATCTATGAAAATTTATTTTTAAGGGGAAATGGATGGTCTAGATAATTTGTTGCAATATACACTATTTTTAGAGCTTGAAATCCTATATTTTTTCACATCCAGAATGTTCAAGCTGAGATGATCAATGTAAAGGTTTTTCAATACTTGAATTGTAAATTTGGACGAGTTATGAGGTGCGGCTTTACTTATTTTGACAGGGCTGCAACCCTATCAATCCATTTTCCTTCACGATTTGAATTATAATTCTATTAGTCACATTATAAATGGATGATTTTAAAAAATACATTAATATCTAATCAACAAATTTTGAAGTGAATGGTTTAAAACATGTTTCATTCCAAATTCCTAGATGACAATTTACCAAACATAAGAATAAGATTAAATATGCAAATTGCTCTCCCTCTCAGTCTAAAGAAATTTCTAGAGAAAGAGAGGAACTCTTTAAGAAAATAATTATGCCCCATACTTCTTGTGGTGGTTCTTTCATTGTATATATAATGGTAATACAATGATGTAATATACATTTTTCCTTTCTTTGTTATATGCAATATACACCTTCTTATTTTGTTACATTCACCTCTCAAAGGAAAGAGCAATACACTTTCCTATTTTTTTTGAATTTTGTTTCTATTACTACTCCTCAAACTCGACCGAGGAAGCATTTGAAGCCCGAGTTTGAAGCAAAGACCTCGAAAAACATCTCGTAGCAAAGGCTTGGTGAAGATATCAGCTAGTTGATTGCGAGAGGAAACAAATTAAGTCATAAGCAATCCAAGAGTAATATTTTCACGTACAAAATGATAGTCTAACTCAATGTGCTTTGTCTAGGCATAAAAAACATGATTAACTGTCATGTAGATAGCACTAATATTATCACAAAAAAGTATTGGTGGCTCATAAAGAGGCACCTAATATCCCGAAGAATAAAAGAAAGCTGCGTCAATTCTGCAGCAGTGGATGCCAGAGATCAGTATTCCGCTTTTGCACTTGAACGAGCCACAATCGATTGTTTCTTAACAATTCAAGATATGCAGTTAGAACCAAGATAAGTGCAGAAATCGGTAGTTGAACGGCGAGTATTTGGACACATAGCCCAGTCTGCATCAGAGAAAGCATATAACTCAATGGAATTATCAGATGAGATTCATATACCGCATGACTGTGTACCACTGAGATAACAAAGAATTCGCTTCATTGTCTAAAAATGTGCAATTGTAGGGGCATGCATAAACTGATACACTGTATTAATAATATGAGAAAGTTTTGGCCGTGTTATGGTAATGTATTGAAGTGCACCAACAATACTCTGAAAAAGGGATGGATCAGGAAATAGATTAGAATTCTCATGAATATTATTCTTCATTGCCATTGGTATTGCAATAGGTTTGGCACCGAGCATCTGAGCACGATCAAGAAGATCTCAGACATATTTGCTTTGTGATAGAAAAATTCAGCCAGAAAAATAAGATATCTCTATGTCAAGAAAGTAGTGAAGAGGTACAAGATCTTTCATAGTAAATTCCCTTCCAAGTTAGGAAATGAACCATTCTAAAAGATATGAATTATTAACAATAACAATAATATCATCAATATAAAGGAGAAGAATAATAATGCCTTGAGTAGTGTGAGAAACAAATAAACATGAATCAGCTATGTTACAATAAAACTCAAATGATAATAAATAGGCACTAAATCTATCAAACCAAGTCTATGGTGCTTGCTTGAGACCATATAAAGTTCTTTTTAATTTGTAAATATGATTTGGATCTTTTGAGCTCACAAATCCCGGAGGTTGTTCCATAAATACATGTTTCTTAAAAAAGCCATGCAGAAAAGTATTTTTCACAACAAGCTGTTTGATAAGCCAGTGGCGCACAATAGCTATGGTGAGCACAATCCGAATGCCTTAACAACAAGACTGAATGTTTCAGAGAAATCAATTTCAACAACTTAATTGTATCATTTTGCAACTAGTTTGACCTTAAGTCTCTCTTGACTACCATCAGACTTTAATTTAGTCTTATATACCCAAAGACAACCATCAATATCTATACCTGGAAGACGTGGAACTAGCTCACAAGTTGAGTTAACATGTAGGGCTTCAATTTCTTCTTCCATCGCATGATGCCAACTTGGATGACCCAAGACAGACTTAATGGTTTTAGGTTTAGAAGGGATAGCTTCAAAAGTATGAGCCCTTGAGACTGCTGCCATGAATGGGAGAACCCGAGGTCTTCGAGTGCCATCTTGAGATCTTGTGACCATGTGATGGTGAGGATGCTCAAAGGCTCGTAAAAAATTAGATTGATTGGTTTCTGGAATGTCAACATTTTCATCACCATGATTGTGTGTTGCTTCATCCTGGACATCTTGAATTGATGTTGCAGTGGTGACATCTTCATCTATAAGAGAAGTTGGAGCTATCATCGATGATAGGCAAAGAAGGACAGAAGGGATCAGATACATCAAGGGCATCCCATATGGGTAGTTCATATGAATGTGATGAATCAGAAGAGGTCTGCATAGGTGGACAACTTCCCCCTGAACTTGAGTATTATCAAACAAAGAGTTGGGGTTAGCATAAGGATATATATTTTCATCAAATACAACATGTTTAGAAATATAGACTCGTCCTGTGGGTGGATGTAAACATTTGTAACCCTTATGCTGGATACTATAGTCGTAGAATTTACATGGAAGTGAACGGGGACTAAATTTGTTTGTAGCATAGTATCGAAGATATGGTAAATGCCGACAACCAGATACTCGAAGTGAGGAGTAGTCTGGTAAGCGTTCAAACAATAATGAGTATGGAGAATCACATTTCAAATTGGCAGAGGGAATTCTATTGATCACAAATACTATAGTATGAAAGTCTTCAACCCAAAAACATTAGGAATTCATGCATGAAACGTCATTGTACGACTCAATTCTATAATATTTCTAGGTTTCCTTTTAGCTATTTCATTTTGCCCAAGGGTTCTCGGACATGATAATTGTCACATAATTTCATTGTCATTGAGATGAGTACTAAATTCTTTCTTAGCAAATTCACCACCTCCATCACATTGAAAAACTCGAATTCTTTTATCAAACCTCTTTTCAACCATACGATGAAATTTCATCAATGCAGCGAAAAATTCATATTTCCATTTCAAATGATAAATCCAAGTAAACAAGTATAATCATCAACAAAATAACTCTGATTAGATAAAATTGGAGCAGGGCCCCATAAGTCTGAATGAATTTTAAAGAGATGTTCAGTAGAGGTTTTATCAACACCACTAAAATGAAGCTTTCAACTTTTTCCCATCTGACAATTAGCACAGACAGAATGAGATTTATTCTATGCATAAATATTAATCAACTGTTTAGATTAAGTAACGAACAACTCTATTTTGACGATGTCTAAGGCGTTGATGTCGCACATCCTTTGATTTTTCTGGGGTACCCCACAACTCACATTACTGATCTGGCTAGTAGGAACAAACCCACATCCTCGAGAATTAAAGACATGTCGACTACCAAAGTTGTTCTTCTACCTTTGTAATTATGGTTACCTCTTTGGGGTCTAACATTTTTTTGTTGTACAACAAAGGCTATATTTTGATTTTGAATGAGTGTTCTTAAGAGATATAGGGCTAATTTCTAATCTCATGGCTTTGAATAAGATGTATGATTTTTAGAATATGAAAGAATCATAGGCTTAAAAATAGTAATAGAAAAACTCTCATATTTTGGACCAAGTCCGTTAAGAAGCCAAAAAACCTCATTTTTATCTGGTACAAGTATTCCAATAGCTGCCAAATCATCACAAATACTTTTGAATTTATGTATATATTATGATATAGTTGAATTCCCTTTCTTATAGAGTTGGAGTTGTTGGGTAAGTTGGAATTCCTTAGCTTGAGAAAAGCCTACATAGGTGTTCTTCAAGTATTTCCAAACTTCTGCAAAAGTCTTAAGGCCAATAACAAGGCTGAGACATTCTTCTAATAATGTCCCTATGATCCAGGCTTTAAAAAATGGGTCAGACTTTAGTCATGATTTGTAATCTAGGTTTTCAATTTCACTCTTACCATGATGAGAGTAAATCTTTTGACTCTGTGTAGGGTAATCATAATTAATGAATCTAAAAAGTTATTGACTCTCAATGAGAGAGAGCGTTTGAGTTTCCTATAATAAATAGTTGGTATGTGTCAACTTAATAGACACAAAGTTTCCTACATTAAGAGTGGAGGGATAGGGATACTTGGATATTAAAGATGAGATATCCATTTGAGCAAAGGTGGAATCTGGAGATATATGGATGATTTGTTTTTTTTTTGAGAGAGTGTGCTTGATCGGAAGAACGTGCAAGGGCGTGATTACTTGTCGAAGACAAGGTGAGGGTTAAATAGTTGAAGATAGTGAGATGGAGGACAACAGGTTGCAAAAGAGAGAAACGTAGAAAGACTTTGCAAGAGGTTTGGAGGAGTCCGTATGACTATGTAAGGGTTGTTAAGATAAAGGAAAAACTTACGTGATGGGTATTAAGATGGAGTTTGAAGAAGGTTTAATGAAAGATGGAGTTAATAAGGAGAAATTGGGGTTTGAGAAGAAAAGGCTTAGCAAACAACACAAAAAAAACAAAGAAAAGGTGATGAGTTTTGAATTAAATAAGAGAGTATGGGTCAGATATGAGAGGTTTAAATGAGATGGATGATATGAGATGGTAATGAAATGGATTAGTAGATGAGAGAAGGTGAGAGCAGCTACAAACCTTTAGAGATGAAGGCAAAGGTGATTGTTTCAATCGGTATCCCTTTGAATTTACCCTCAATACACTGTGCTTTACGGATTGCATCCCAAGAAGCAATGGCTTTAGGGTGGAGGAACGGCCTCAAGGTGGAGGGTTGAGAAGATCGCTATTTGCTCTTATATCGTAAAGAAATTTTTAAAGAAAGAGGAACTATTTGATAGAATAATTATGCCCCATTTTTTGTGTGGTTCTTTCATTGTATATAGAATGGTAATAGAATGATGTAATATACATTTTTTTTCTCTTATTACATGCAATATACACCTTCGTTATATTCACCTCTTAAAGGAAAGAGCAATACATTTTCCTATTTTCTAGGAATTTTGTTTCTATTAGCCGGTTTCGCATGAATCACATGTATCTTAAAATGGGAAATTATTTACCATCCATCACTAAAAATTAACGGTGGTGGCTGGTTCATGTACTGTATCTAAATGCAAAGGTGGTCCATACCAGGAAATTATGGCGATGGAATGACTTTTGTATTTGGGTGTGGTTTGTATAAGGCTGATGCCTTAAACAATCAAAGCAAGGCGCACCTTCAAATAATATGGAAAGATGTTGTTTCAGTATTGAAAACTTTTTGTGATGGTCTGAAAAGTCAATTTCACCTCTAATTATAAAATTTCAAGTTTCAAAAATAGTATTGATCAAGTAGATGTATGAACACTTGAAAATTGGCGGTCTAAAAAATGCATTACAATACACATTATTTTTACGAATTAAAATCCATTTTTTTTTCATGTCCATACAACTTGAGGTCGAGATGATTGATTTGAAGATTTTTTAACATCGAAACAACCTCTCCTAATGAATTTTTAAACTGCACCTCAATTTGATTGTTTAAGCCTCACCCTCATTTAAACTTTTTCCTTTGTATTTTAGGGTATAGTTACATAAGGTGGCAACTTTAAACAATCAAAGTAAAGCACACCTCCAAAATTTCTCATAAGATAAATTTTGGTGTCGATAATTTATCGGAAGCCTAAGAATCTACTTTAAATTCTAATTATAAAATTTTAAATTCAAATAATAATTTAAACATCTATAAATGCATGAAAATTTTAAAAATAGATGGTCAATATAATACATTATAAGGTATATTATTTTTAAAATTAAATTTTTTTTTTTTTTTGTATCTATGGATGTCGAGATGATCAATTAGATGGTTTAATAACGGCAAAACAACCTTCTTCGTGAATTTTTTACGTGCACCTTAATGCTGCGATATGAGTTATAATCACTTTATATAAACTTATGGAAAATTATTTCATACAGGCTAGGCCGCATTTCTATAGTATACGATCTAGAAGTATAAAACATCTATCTTAAAGATGGATGCAAATATGTGGTCCATTTAAAAAAAGTGTTGAGATGGATGCAAATATGTGGCCCATCTAAAAAAAGTGTAACTAACGGTCTAAACGTTTTTTTGATATAATTATTATTTTTAGTTTTTACTTTTTTTTAATATTCATGTTATTCGTATATTCTATAAAACTTAGGATTAAATTATATTTAAAAAATATATTTATTTCGAAACCCGCATTTCTACAATACGCGTACTGGCCGCATGGAAACCGTCCTAAACTTTTTCCTTCAGTTTAACTCCCGCTCTTTTAAACCTTTCCGATTCGCAAGCAGAGAGTGAGCACTGTCGGTAACCTAGAGAGAGAAAGAAGCTATCTAGAGAGAGAGAGAGAAGAGATACGACGAGCTTTTCCATTTCCAGGTTCCATGTCTAGTAGTGTCCATGGCGAGCTCCTCAAATCCTTCAAGGTCTCGAAAGCGCGCCAGACTCATACAGGTCTGAAACCCACCCCCTGTTTTCCTTTCCCTCTCTACCTTTCATGGCTTACTTTGAAGAGACGCATATAAATATGAATGGAATTGAGCTCCTATTTTACCAGTTAAAAGGAGAGATAGAGAGAGAGAGAGAGAGAGAGAGAGAGAGAGAGAGAGAGAGAGAGAGAGAGAGAGAGAGTAGAGAGACGAGTACGTAGTAGTAGTAGTAGTAGTAGTAGTAGTACGTAGTACGTACGACGTACGTACGTAGACGGTACGTAGAGAGTACGAGA